TCCAGAACTTCTCAACTAAAGACTGTAACTCACAATCATACTGCACTACTTGTACATAATGAGATGTCACTGCTCCATGGCTGCCATTCTCCAATGGTCCATTCACAACCCAGCCTAACACCGTTCTTGCAGCGTAAGGTTCATCAGACGCTCCTCTACGAATGTCAATTGGTGCCAGTTCCGACGGATTGTCTTGTCCGATTAGAAGATCAACCTTAGCCCCTTCAGACAGATTAATATCTTTCAAATGAGGCCATTTGTCTAAATCACTTTGAGATGCCACACTGTTTCCATAAACTGGAATTTCAGGAATCACAAATACATGATGCATTTTAATGCAGTGCATCCCACTCAGGTCAGCAACATTCAGAGTTACCATACTCGTGTCAGATTTGGAGTCATCACTAGTGAGTGCTGTTAGCGACAAAGTTGTTTTACTACCCTGTAGACCAAGCTGTTTAACCAGTTCCTGTGTACAGAATGTGTTTGCGCTTCCAGGGTCAAGTAAGGCGTATGTTCTGATGCACTTACTCTCACTGCCTTGAATCACAACTGGCACAATGGGAAGAGCTATCCTGCTCATGCCGGCCCCATTAACTTTACTAACTGAATTGTGGAGAGACTGGACTGTTGTTTGCGTAGAGATTTCTTGAGTTTTCTTTTTAGCCTCATCAGCCCCAGTCCATCAGCTTCTGCTGATGTGCAACAGTCTCGAATGCTTGCGTGTACATCCATCTACACCACATTTGCTTGGCTGTAAACAATTGTACGACATATGTTGATTGGAGAAACAGTTATGGCACAAATACTTCTCAGTAACAAACTCCTCTTCCTCTGTAACCAGCTTTGGTTCGAATATATTAGTTAGAAGCAAACTTCCCCATTGAATTCTTCTTTGTTTTCATTTTGTCATCTCTTGAAATATTGATAGTTCCAAAAACTGGGTCATTCGCTTCCTCCGCAGCAGTTTCTATGAATCCAGCCAGGTGTGTAATATCAGGGTAATATCCAGTAGCCTTCAGAACACCAACAGCTTCTTTCTGCCATCTTCCTTGAAGAAAGGGTGGTAACTTTTCAACTATCTTTCCTATTCACATTTGATTATCAATTTCGTTGAGGCGTCCCATTGTTGTCAAAGTCATAAAACAACTCCGTACATTGTCTGCATATCGTCGCAGTTCTGCACTACCTCCAAATCTCAAACAGGTTCCCTCAGTAACCTTCTGTATCCAGGCCTTTGAGATGACAAACTGATTTCCAAAGCGCTCACTCAACAGTCTCCTTGCTTCGGAATACCCAACTTCAGGTTCCATAACTGCGCAACATTCAATGACAGTCAAGGCCTTCCCAGTGCAATACTGTAGCAGACGATTTAACTTGACACTGTTATTGACACAAGAATCTCCAAAACTATTCTCAAATGAACGTACAAACATCCCGTATTTTAATGGATCTCCATCAAATGTCATTAGTTCTGTTTTAGGCAACTGAAGAATGTTGAGCATCTGCCTCTGCATTGACAGGAATTGCTCACCACTATCATGACTATCAGACGCACCTCGCTTCTCAACATGATCCAAATTATCCTGACCAACGGCAGTATAAGACTTCGGTAGAAATTCTGGTTGAGTCCAAACACTGGTTCGGTGCTGTTGGAGAGCTCTTATCTGCTGTTCTTGTTCATGAATAACATTCAGTAATGCTGCATGCCTCAATCTTTCTTGATCCATCTTCTCACTTGAAGCCTCATTATCATTTGGATTCAGTGGCTGATTACCATGTTCAACTGTCTGTTGCAAAGTATCAGTCCCTTCAGGTTTATGCTGAGATTCCCGCTTTATCTGATTAGATAACTCATTAAGTTTATCGGCTGATAAAGTACCTCCACCAAATGATTCCACATATACAAGTTCTTCTGCTTCTACCACTGCAATATCTGTCTCTTGTTTGAGTGATTCTTGTTATTCCTCAAGCTCCATCTGATGCCGTGTAAGCTCTTGAGTCTTCTTTAATGCTTCAGCACGAACACGCAGCCAAACGGGGTCAGTAGCCATATCTGTGCTTGTAGACCTCTGCGGCTTGAAACCTTCTCCACAAATTAAATTAGTTGGATTTGACGGAAATATGTTTGAATTGTTACCTTGTTTCGTTTTGTCGCTGTTCGTACATGAGTACATTTCTTATCGTTATGACAGGACAGACCGACTGTAAACAACGTCTGACCGTGGCGTGACGTCTCATAGACTAGGGTTAGAGTAGCTTCCCTTTGACAAAGGGCAGTTACTCTAGCGGACAGACCGATGGATTGCCGCGAAAGGCAATTAAAAACAATTGTTGTTTTGCGTACGGCCTTCTTAGCAGCAACTTTAGTCATCAATGTTTTTACAGTTTGTTGACTAACAGAATCATCTGGATTCACTGATATATGTCTTATGTTCATGTCATCTCTCATGTTAATGTCTCTTTTTCTCTCAGCCTTCCTCATCAACACATCTGAATGTAACAGATCAAACCTGTCTTTAATCTTCAAACAATAAGACTCCAACTCATGAATCTCCTCTGGATTATCTGACAAGTTCCTGTCTCTCAATTGTTTTCTCATGCAATTTGTGTAGAATATCTTTCAAATAGTCCTTTTCACTATCAACCACAGTGATATCTGTTTCACTTCTTAAATGTCTCTGATCTGATTTTCTTTTCTGTTATATACTGCCACTATACCACCACGCTGTCTGCCGAACTGTGGTTCTAACTCATATTCACCAATGTTCAATTCACTTCCCTGCATACTTGTTTTTTTGGAGTCAATCTCTGACGTATTGACAAAATATTTGCTTATGTTGCTGAATTTTTCTATCCTTCATAAATTTTCTTGAACTTTTGTAGGCACAACAAAAGGGCATTGTACTCGATATTTTTACTTCCTCTTCACATTTTTGTTTACACCGCAGTGTTCTACACGTGTACATTGTATTCCATGATTAGTCGTCGGTTCAAGCTAAAACAAATAAAATGTTTCCACTCTGTCTCGATATTCAAATATCATTAAATATGCAAGATACTGAAAGCTTTACCTTGAATGTAATTACCTAATAATAATAGTAATATTACCCACAGTGAACTGAAGTGCTTCTTAGGTAAAACTAACGAAAACATGTAACCCCATTTCAGGCTAACCCATGTGGTCTAGACCTGTTAGCATGGTTAGATACAACTGCACGTCGTTGTTGAATTTGGCAATATCAGGTTTATATTATACAATGATTGGATAGATGAACATGTTGCTCACTGTACATAATTATACTTACAAAATTTCTGATCCTCAAATGCCTACAATGTGGTTACTTCACCGCAGCGAAGCACACCGGTCACCTCGAACCACCGTTACAACTTCGGAGTTACCTCCCTTCCCTGTCAAGTCTTAAAACTTAGATCGCAATCCGAAATAATCAAATGTTTCAGTAACATACTCCAATGTGTCTCATGTGGAGTTACCTCCACGTCAAGAGGACCAAAGAAGTTATGGACCTTTATGGGAACTCTAAGGGAACCTCTAAAGTAGAGGTGGCCTTTGGTGGAAGTGTCTGCAGCTGCTCTCTTTGCTGCTTTTGTTTTGATAATCTTTTTTTTATCTCTTTGTAAGATGAACAATTTCTGGTTCTGCTTCAGTAACTGGCTTTGGAGTCTGAGACTCGACATTGTTTAGGGTTTTGGTTTGGGAGATGTCACAGACGAAAGTGTCACAGTAGGTTTAGGTAGTGAAGCAGTTGGAATTGGCTTAACAGACTTGACCCGTGTCAGATCAGTCTGGCATCAATAGAGACAGTGGTTACAGCTGGACGAGAGACTGCAGCAGAGTAGGAAAGGGTAGAAGTGGTTGCAATAAGACCTGCAACCCTCTTCTTATCTTCGTGGTATGAGACATTTTGTTCAGTCTTGACTCTCGGGATTTGGGACTCGCGTTTTAACACAGGGCAGGATTTTGAAGAAACCATATAGTTGAGCCATGGTGAAGTTGTAAACAGTTCACCATCCTAGCTCCCCACCCGCCACGGGGTGTCACAAGGACAATGCTGTAAGCCAGTGGATTTCCGACTGGCAGCACCAAGGATACTGGGATGGTACACTCAAGCAGATCAACTAAAAAATTAATCAATCCACCAGATTGGCTCATGAGCCACCGCCTTCTGACTTGTTGGATAGGCATTACTTAGAAGTTGGCGGATGACAAGATAGACACAATTTTATGGATAACAACTACAGTATTAAAGAAGTTGTTATCCATAAAAATGTGTCTATCTTGTCACCGCCTTCTGGGCATACGACTCTAGGCAATTGAAACAATTAACAATCAAAATTCAAGATTTGATACATATATAATTTGGCCAGGTCCGAAAGTTAAAAAGTCAAATCAGTTTAAACACAATATGTGCTCAACGCTTGGCGTGACTAGCCGATTGATAGAACCGGGCCCATTCTACCACCCGTCTAGGTGAAGTCAGGGTCGAAGTGGTGTATTGGACAAAGGAACGCTATTCCTGGAACCAGTGCCCTCAACCACCAGACTCCCGTCCTTCGCCGACACAGGGGCGCAACCCACGGCAAACAGGTTGCCCAATTCGGTCGCCTTTTACGACCAGCAATGGGGTGCTGTGGACACATTCTACCCCGGGTCCACACGGGGGAAGAGCTATTAGCGTTACCCAGCACTCACCATATTTATTACTTGCATAAATAAGACGTCATTATGTGACGTTTGCGAAATAGAACTCTTCATAATCAAGAAGTACCATGCTGAGGTCTTTGAAAGGCATTTAGAAGCGATTCACATCAGGAAGAGAATAACGTTTCGGAGTATATGCTTACTCCTTCATCAGGTGAATGATGAAGGAGTAAGCATATACTCCGAAACGTTGTGTTCTTCATAATAAAGAAGTTGACCTCCATATATTCTCTTTCTTACCATGCTGAGATATATTAATAGGCAGTTCTTGTTTCAGATGCTGTGGACACATGGATAGCTACTATCATTAAAGAATCATCACATTTCAGCTCGTACGTACAAATCTATGTTCATATTTTGTCAATAATTGTACACTATCGCATGACACGCGTCAAGGCCAGATCGCAGCGCTTGCCAGAAGAATTATCTTTATATTAGAGCCTGGCGGGTTCTCTTGAAACACAAGAAGGCGCTATGTCGGATGGATTAGCCGCCAGGGTTTATTTTCAGTAAAACTATGTGAGGTGAGGTGAAATGTGGTTTACGTCGCGTCCGTATTGCACTAATTTAGCGACGTGCTTGCATGTGTGTGTGTGCGTGCGTGCGAGCGTGCGTGCGTGCATGCGTGCATGCGTGCGTGTGTGTGTGCTCGTGCTAGTCCCAACTAATGTCGATTTTATAGTGCTCGCACACTGAGATACCATGCCGCAATTTAACATAAATACAGTAGACTGACTCCGAGCAGACCAGCTTGTTTTAGCCCCTAAATGCCAAGCGCCATACTAAACTCAGTATCAAAAGAAACCTTACTCAGTTGATTTGATCATAGGTTTGATTTTCAATTGAAAGTATCTTTAGTTAGCGATATAGTATAGTATGAACTGTACTGCCGCATAGTCAGCAATTAAAGACAATTATTATACGGCTGTATTTTTTTAAATAAAATTTGAATTAGAAGTAATAAACGAGATCGGTTACGCAACTGCTGATGGTTATCTTAGACATCTTGTCTTTGAAAATAAAAATAATTGCTTTTAGCGGTACAAAATTTCAAAAATGGTATAGGGGTCATGTAATTGCAAAATGCAATTCATATTAACACAAAATTACTCAGCCAGAGATAAAGCGTTACAAACAGTTGCAGGAATGAGTGATAGGCAAATGGGCATAATTAAATTTAAGAGCAGTTCTTTCTATTTTCAGTTAAATTAAAACAAAATAATGGGGATACTTTCTTTTGCCCCCAGTTTAAGTACAAGTTATTGCCAGAATTAATGTGAAACAACATCCACTATTGTCCCTTGGGAATAAATATAATTGGCCATAGCTGACTGCGTGCATGTCAAGTGAGTTCATCTGAAGAAATATTCAACTCAAGCAACGAGATATGACACGTGCGTGACACTGTTACACTAGACCTAATGAACTGCAACTGATGTCACTTCAGCTTATTAAAATGAAAGGCGCTTCTTCTGTTGAAACCTCCTCCGCTGCCTAGTGGGAAGAGTCTGCCCGGTGATGGGAAAATTGATGGTTCAATTCCCTAACGATAAATTTGTTGTTTGTTTGTTGTTTAACGCCTCACGCAGCAATATTCCAGCTATATGACGTCTGCCTGTAAATAAACGAGTCTGAACCAGACAATCCAGTGATTGACAACATGAGCATCGATCCTTGCAATTGGGAATCAATGACATGCATCAACCAAGTCAGCGAGCCTGACCACCCGATCCCGTTAGTCGCCTCATACGACAAGCATAGTCGCCTTTTACGGCAAGCATGGGTTGCTGAAGACCTATTCTATCCCGGATCTTCACGGGGAAACAAGCATGGGTTGCTGAAGACCTATTCTATCCCGGATCTTCACGGGGAGACAAGCATGGGTTGCTGAAGACCTATTCTACCCCGGATCTTCACCGGTCCTAATGATAAATGACGAAACGTGTTGGCATTAAGGAGCTAAAACAAGGCTCGGAGTCAATATGCATCTCTGAAGGGGGTATCAATTATTAACTGCGGTATGGTATCTCGGTGGGATAGCACCATTGGCAATAGCGCATGCCAATGTAAATTCTGTAATCGTGCCGCGACGTTATCCCTGTTCCACCTCACCTCTTTTGTGTGAGTGAGTGAGTTTACGCCGATTTTTTTTTTTCTGATTGGCACGAAGCTGTGCTCCAGAGACCATGGTGACATTACATAATATAAAGTAATACTAGTAAACATCGTACAGGTTCACAGCTTTATTATTACCAGTTAGGGGCGGTCGGGTAGCCTAGTGGTTAAAGCGTTCGCTCGTCACGCCGAAGACCCGGGTTCGATTCCCGACATGGGTGCAATGTGTGAAATTGCTGGAATATTGCTAAAAGCGGCGTAAAACCAAACTCACTCACTCACTATTACCAGTTATATGTACTTAAAGAGTACAATTTATAGGATCAAGGCCCCAAATGACACTGACAATGATCCCTGATTAATGACCCATGAACAAATATACAACCTGATTAGCTAAGCAACTGTACAGCAGCTGTTACAAAAGATAGCTAAAACAACACCCGGACAGGACAATCGACAAGACGCACAGACAGACAGTTAAGTCGGCTTTGACCAATTAACACCTGACAGCTAATCAACAAAAATAACCTCAGCTTGGTTAGATAGGGAGGAATGGGTACTGATCTGGGCACTATCCCTAAGTTAGACTTCCCAAAAATACAGGTACTTGACCTACAGAGTATCTAGACTCACAACAATAAAACTGTACTTCACGAAAAGAGTAACTTGACTCACAATTATAAAAAGGTACTTGACAAAAGAGACCATCCCGGAAAATTGGTCATTCGCGGATTACAAGTAAAAGGGTATAACACCCTAGCCAATACGTTTAGCGCAGTAACAATTTGGGTAAGTCAGAACAAGATCAAAATCGCCACATAATTACTAACTAGCGAGACTAAGTTTCTGCCTGACCACCCAGTAACAATACGACCCGTCTACGTCTAGCGAATCCTGGCGGTGGCGGCATGTGAAAGCGCCAAGGTTCTTAAACGCGACACACGGACGTCGGAGAAGACAAGTTCCCCTTTCTAGCTTGGCGAACGTTTAAAGCTGGGAGAGCTATCAGATTTTTGATTTCACAAATAGGGATCACGTAGTAAGCTGTAAGTTTCATCTCAAGTTCCCTGTACACAGTTATTCCTATCAGTCCACAACATCAGTCCTCCGTGTCTATTTGCAATTAAATTGTACCGTGGTCATCGGCGGTTTTAGTTCAGCCAGATGAAGAGAGCGTCTACATTTTTTGTTAACCGGGAACTGTAAAACTTTAGTTCACCGAGAGCCCACAATATAGGCTCCACCAGAAACGTTAAGCTATCGAGACACGATTTCGGTTAACCGAATCACTCTGCAATGTCAGTCAAGCGTACACGTGTCAGTCCTAAATGAAAGGACAAGCCAGTTTACCATGTCAGTCCACCAATCAACTTACCTCTTTTGTCACGGTCATCGAATCATAGGCTTCTAGCACGACACATTTCTTCACAGCAAGATGCTGCTCCTCAGATTACTGGGCACGATGGACCTGAAAACCTGGTTTGTTTGGAGACTGGTTACTTGTGTTCACACAGTCTGAGGACGGTCGGGTAGCCTAGTGGTTAAAGCGTTCGCTCGTCACGCCGAAGACCCGGGTTCGAATCCCGACATGGGTGCAATGTGTGAACCCCTTTTCTGGTGTCCCCCGCCGTGATATTGCTGGAATATTGCTAAAAGCGGCGTAAAACCATACTCACTCACTCACTCACACAGTCTGATCAGATTCATCAGTCCGAACAACCACGTACAAACATCGTAATTATTATTATTTTCCTGTTGTCGATATTGATAATATGATCAAAATTTACATTCGGTTTCGAGTATTTATACAGTTGGTGGTTGCAGTTGGATCAGTAGCTATCCGGCCAGTAGCATGAAAGGTCCCCCCGACTACTACCCCAATTATGGCAACACTGAGAAAGCCTGGTGCCCAAAATCCAGAGACTCAAACCAGTATGTGGAGGTAAGTCGTTGTCATTCGCCGATAAAACAATCAAAATGTACCGTTTTACAACGTGTAAACTGCAGAAAAATATATATTGGCTACAAATAAAGCATTCTCCATTCATACTCACAACAGTTAGTGCCTTAAATCCCCAAATTTCCAGGACAAATCCTAAACGGCACAAACCAAAACGGAGAAATTGAAATGGAAAAAAGTCCGACACAAACCGAACCAAGTAATTCAAACTTGGTAAAACGGCCTTGAAATACAAAAATGTTTCAATTCCTAACACCAGTATTCCCGAGCATCTACGTCCATGCGGTCATGATGGATAACCTGGATTTATTCGCCACCATAGTTCTATTTCGAAAGTGGCGTCACATCCCTCACTGAGCAGAGAATTCCTCTACTCGGTGTCGTGGCATACAGAGTCGGAATAAACAAGCGAAATGATCCAGGGTATTTGTCAGTAGAGAACTGACATATAATAAACTGAGTATGTAGCATACATCGTTATATACCACACGGGCGCTTAGCTTACCGCCCATGGGTCTGAGCATGAAGATGTGAACAGAAAATAGTTTGTACAGTAAACTACAGTAAACGAACACGCTTATTACGAACTGCCGGATATAACGAACTTACTATTTTGGTCCGACCATTTGCTGTAGTTATGATGTATATATCCGTATAACGAACTACGGTAATAACGAACTAAAATTAGTAGTCCCTTTGAGTTCGTTATAACCGTACTTTACTGTACTTTGTAAATAATTGACTTTTCGAACCTTTTGCAGTTCACTAGCTAAAAATTATTCAATACTTGTTGGCAGAGGCGATTTCTTTATGCTCGGACATCACATTTCATCAATCTTCCTGAAATATCAAGAATGGACAGTACAACTACAGGGACACGAACTAGGGTCGGCGCATGCGTGAGTTTGAACAGGGTGGACGTGTTTTTCTTAGCTCCCACCATGGGGATCTCTCTTTCCCAATATAGAGCTAAAATAGGACTGTTTGTACAACCAAACAAAGCGAGAAGAAGCATGAAAGGTATCAAAATTAGCAAAAAGTGTTTCTCGATGTGCCTACGGGTTTTGATCCGTCTGAGTTTGCTACTTGTAGCAGATGGTTGTGTCGAGACGAACCCAGGCCCACCTAAGTCCGGCCCCGCACACAATACCCGAAATCAGTCAACTTTGTCCGTGTCTGAAACAGGATCGTTACAGATATCAGCAACGGAAAATGAAAACAGCGACTTGATGGCGATTTTAATGGACATTAAATCTAACACCACGGACATAAACAATAAATTTGAGAGACTCGATGACAAGGTCACAAAAATGGCGTCTGATTTCCACGAGCAGCTAGCCTCGCTTCAACATGAAAATACACAACTGAGACTTTCTCTGTCTAGTTTGGAAGAAAAACTCGAGGATCAAGAGTGTCGTGAGCGGCGAAACAACTTAATATTCCATGGAATATCTGGAGAGAGGGGCGAAACATGGGATCAGTCCGAGTCAAACGTGAGAGAGTTTCTGCGCGACGAGTTACACATGGAGAAGGCAAATGATATTGTTATTATTCGTGCTCACCGCCTCAACCCTGGCAAAAGTGATTCTCCTATCCTAGCTAAATTCCTACTGACAAAAGACAAGAGTGATATTTTCAAGAGAGGACGGGAACAACAAGATAGAAATCACCGATCACGTGTAACAGAGGATTTCCCACAGAAAATACGAGAGGATAGACGCGCACTGTCTACCTACTTTCAAGAAGCCAGAGACAGCGGGAAACGACCTAAGATACGTGTTAACAAGCTTATTGTGGAAGGGCAGGTATATATGTACGACCGACAAGACAAGTGTGTGAAGAAGGTGTCTACATGTGGGGGTACGCATCGTGATGCAAGGCCCTCTTTTCGCGATCGTTCATGGAGTGATTTGTTTGGACCCGGAAGCAACACAAACCGAGACACACCTCCTTCAGGGGAGTTAACTCCCAATGTTGACAATTTTGGTAAGTGATGTGACGGCCACGGCCCAACATTTGATATTCTCTCGTGGAATATAGAAGGACTGCGAAAATATGAAAACTCGACATCTCAGGTAAAAAGTCTTTGTGAACATTTTGACTTGATCGCGTTTTGTGAGTCATTTGTGAGACGGTCCGATGAATTCTCGGACTTCTTGTCCGGTTTTCGTGCGCTAAACTGTGTCCGTCCCAAGACACACACGTTCGGGCGATATAGTGGTGGTATCACTGTTTTGATACGCTCTCATTGGCTAGATAGTGGACTGTTATGTAGGCTTTATGATAATTTTGAAAATACTGTTGTACTTTTATTCAAAACATCAAGTTTATCATGGGACTCTGACTGTGTTTTGATATTTACTTATATCTCACCCGAAAATTCACCAGTTAATGAGAATATAGATAGTGATGGATTTACTCATCTTGAAAACTACTTGACCATTATTGTTGGGGAACACCCACACAAGCATATATTTCTTGCTGGTGATCTTAATGCAAGGACAAAGGACTTCCTTGACTATATCCCGGATGACAATATTGACTTTATTCAGAGAGATGTTGATGATTATCCCTCTGATACATTTGATATGCCAAGAAAAAACAGAGACTCAGTGACACATAATAATTTTGGCAAAAGACTTGTTGAATTGTGTAGGACCTTTGGTATTCACACATTGAATGGGAGATTGTTTAATGATACAAATGGTGAATTCACATGTTTCACTCATAATGGATCAAGTGCTGTGGATTACATGATTGCCTCCTCTTCTCTCTTTCCATATTTCTCTAACTTTGGGGTTGGTACACAGGATCACTCCAATCACTTCCCCTTATATTGCTCACTCAATATTCAGGGTACCTCATCTGGTAAATATAGTCAACCCCCAGCCCCAGGTAATACAAGGAGTAACTCCAACTGTAATCTGGAAAAGGAAGGTGGAGGCAGTTGGGAGAAATATGTGTGGAATGAAGGTGCTAAAGAAACCTTCTTGCACAAGCTTGAGGGTATATTAGTAGAGCATTATGATTATATTTTACAACTAGCTAATAATAATTGTAATACAGCAGTATCTTGTTTAGTCAGTTATTATCAAGAAGCTGCAGAACACACCAAAAAAGTATATGGTTTAAATTCTAACTTCAGGAGAAATCAGCAGCCTCCCTGGTGGGATGATGAACTTGAATTAATTAAACATGACAAATACAAATCCCTGAGAGCTCACAGAGATCATGGGGAAGATTTTTCACTTTTTAGACACTTAAGATCAATGTTTAAAAATGCTTTTAGTAGAAAGAAAAATCATTTCTTGAAGCACAGAGAGAAAAACTGATAGCTGCAAGAGACAACCCAAAGTTGTTCTGGAAACTGCTCAAGGATAGTAAACCATTTAATGCAGTCACTCAATCAATTAATACTGAGCAATGGACTAACCATTTTATGTCTCTTCTTTTTAGGCAGGATCTTGCACTTGATAGCAGTATGTACCATATCCCTGACAATAATGATCTAACAATTAACATTCCTATTCTAGCAGAAGAAATATCAAGTCAAATAAAACAGCTTGGGAATAATAAATCCCCTGGGCCTGATGGTATTGCTGCTGAATTTTTAAAGTCTTCAGAGAAACAAATTACACCAATTTTAGTTATTACATTTAACAAAATCTTTGAGAGTGGTAACTTTCCAGATGTGTGGGGGGAAAAGTATCATCTGTCCTCTGTTCAAGTCTGGTGATATGAATGATGCCAACAATTATAGAGGTATATCACTCATTGATACCATATGCAAAGCATTTACATCTATTCTTAATGCTAGACTACAGAGGTGGTGTGATGATAACAATATCATTGACGAATCTCAAGCTGGATTTAGACCCAACTATTCCACGACAGATCATATATTTTCACTACAGGCCATTATCCAAAAGTATGCATGTAAAAAGAAAAGAAGGTTCTACTGCTTATTTGTAGATTTCTCAAAAGCTTTTGATAATGTTGATCACAATATGTTGTTACAGAGTTTGGCTGATATTGGTGTCTGCGGAAAGTTTCTGTCTATTATTACATCAATGTACAATAAACTGTGTGCCTGTGTTAGAACACCTACTGGGTTATCCAAATACTTTAAGTGTAATATAGGTACCCGTCAAGGATGCATCCTCAGCCCTCAGATGTTTTTAATATTCATAAATAAACTTGTAAATTTTATGGAAAATTATGGAGGACAAACTGTCTTTATTACTAAAGACTGCCCAGCAATATATGCACTTATGTTTGCTGATGACGTGTCATCTATTGCTGATACACCTTTAAATTTACAAAAGAAGATCAATGCCTTGGAACATTTTTGCAATACCACAGGCATGAAGGTAAACTTGAAGAAAACCAAAGTTATGGTATTCAGAAATGGTGGACCCCTTAGACATTATGAAAAATGGAAATTTAATAGTGTATATATTGAAACCGTGTCGTTTTATAGATATTTGGGTATTGTGTTCACGCCCAAACTTGTTTGGACTAAGGCACTAAATACTCTTGCTGCAGAGAGTAACAAGGCCATTATGACATTATATAGATATCAAAAGAAAGTTGGTAATATACCCTGTCAAGATTTATTTAAGATATTTGATGCTATGATTGTGCCTATTGTCTGTTACGGCGCAGAAATATGGGGCATCTCATATTGTAAAATTATTGAAGATGTACAGAACAAAATGTGTAAATGGTTTCTAAATACAGGTAAAACAACAAACAATGCAATGGTTTTAGGAGAGTGCGGAAGAGCCCCTCTCCAACTTGTGTATACCACAAGGGCCATCAAGTATTGGTACAGGCTACTGCGTTTGGACGAGCGCAGACTGCCTCGCCAATGTTATTTAATGCTCAAATCACTGGACCATTCTGGTCGCACCACATGGGCTACTCACATTAAGAATATTTTGTTTAAATTAGGTTTTGGATATGTATGGTTAACACAAGGTGTTGGCAATGTGAAGGTATTTATTCATCTTTTTAAGCAAAGATTATTTGATAACCTTCAACAATCATGGTGTAGTTCTATCAATAGTATATCTGATACCTTTTATTATAAACATTTTAAATCCCTGTTGAATGTAGAAAAATATCTTACACTCCCCATACCAGTACATCTGAGAATATGTATGACTCGTTTCAGATGTAGCAAGTTTAAACTTGCAATTGACTTGGGGAGATACACAAATGTCCCATACACTGAACGCTTATGTAAATATTGTATAGAAAATGGTATACCTTTTATTGAAGATGAATTTCATGTTTTACTTGTATGTGAGCGTTATTCAGCCCTAAGAAATATGTATCTTAAACAGTATATCAAGTTTCAAACTGTAACATCTTTTACTGAAATTATTTCATCAGAAAACTTTGATGTTGTATATAACACATGTTTATATCTATATAAAGTCCAACGGCTAAGAGAAACTTAAATCGACTACTTCCTTGGCATGCGTAGTTCATGCAATCAAACATTGTCTGTATTATGGGCCTATGGCCTTCTTACTGAATAAACTGTCTGTCTGTCTGTCTGTCGAACTAGGGTCCTTGGTGTGACGAGTGAACGCTTTTGTCACAACGACACTACAGTTGCCCTTGTTCCATATTGATAAGAAACCTACTGTCAAAAGCAGAGTCGAAAGTACGATTCCGACTATGTCATAAGCATGACTGTGTTGATGAATCGCTATCAAATAGTGATAATACCAGGTGTTCGCGAAAGGTGAAAGTATTCTGCCCCACCGGTGGCACCCGTCACAAACACATACAAAGGCAAGTCAATTGTTCACCTGACGAAAACACGGGAACGTAGGGAAAGTCAAAATAGGGAATTGCATCGGAAATCATTTTGGTCACTGATGGGTCAAATTTGGAAAGACTATTGGGGGTTACGCCAGCCTCCGTTCCAAACTCCGTAAACATCGGTGTTGTCGCTAACTGTACTTTTTGTGAAAAATATATTGTGAATCGTTATCCTAATATGTCTCTCTGAATACCGCTAGTTTTAACACTGTTTTTTTCCAGCTCGGCATAGCTGAGGCCATCTACATCACGGAGATCCACATCTATGAGGTCTTCTGGGCTGGTGGCGTTGAGTCGGTCTCAGTCCGGGATTCGAACTCCAACTGGATGGTAATCTGGAGCGCTACCACTTTGTCGAAGATAAAGGAAAGTCGGATTTTCGTGCCTACGTTCATAGTAAGTCCGAATTGTATTTCTATAATAAACAGTTTTAGTTTTTATTTAATTTTAGTTCCATATTGTGTCACAGTAATTTTACGCTGCATTGGGCAGCTGATATCTGGGCATGTATAGTCAGCATCCTCATCTAGCATCATGCTGCCTGTGACCCGTGAAGATTCCGGGGTAGAATAGGTCTTCAGAAACCCATGCCGGAAAAGGCGACTATGCTTGTCGTTAAAGGCGACTAACGGGATCGGGTGGTCAGGCTCGCTGACTTGGTTGATACATGTCATGGTATTCCAATTGCGTGGATCGCGTGGATCGATGCCCTTAATAATACGGGGTGTTTTCTCCTGTATCCTATCGATAAGTTACTTAATGTGCAACTTTGCTCGTATCGATTTGTCATCCGTTTTTCTTTAGCCACCCGATTTCAAGACGGACGCCATCAGGATTGACCTTGACCTTGCTACTACTGGTGAATGGTCCGAGTTCGACGCTGTGAGAGTTATTGGGAGCAGGACCCGGAGAAGGATAAGCTTAGTGTAGTTCGTCGGGAGAAGTGTCAGTATATGGACTAAGTACTGTCGGAAATGCTACAAAACTGCTTTTTGCCTGTTAAAAAAGGAGATAATTTTTCTCAGAGTGTTGTTATTGAAATATCGAGTAACTACCGACCGTCCTACCTGTGGCTTGAAGTATTTCAGTCACAAGGATTCCTATCGACAAGTTTACAAGAGACAAATTCGAACGAAAACAGGAAGTTTATTATTATTTTAAGTCCAATTATGGCAGTCTGAAACGGACTATAGAAACATTCGTACGTGACTCCGTTATAATGATAATAATGTAGTCTTCATAAAACATCTAATCCACACACAAAAATCATTTTGAGAAAATTCTAGATGTGCATCGTCTAAAATGACAAAATGACGCTGCGTTTGTTTTGTTAACATTGCTCCTATGATGCATGTTACATTACACTTGCATCGCCATAACCAGGGTCCACGATATGGAGTCTGTACGTGGATATGATTACAAGTTATTTACACTAAGGAGAGATAGAGGGAAAACATTTATTAATTTAGATAGGGTGAATAACTGAACTGCCAAAGCTATATTGTTTTAAATTCATACCATCAAGTCTACATTATGATAAATAAAACAAAACAGGTATAGGGGTGGTCTCAAAAACAAAACTAGGACGTAAAAGGATATTGGTCAACTTTGATACATGGTGATTAGGCGTATAGTGTACAAGCTTAATGAGCGGAAGGTAACCCTGACTTAGTAGATTTTGGGAGGAATTAAAGATACAATTAATGTGAACTGGAGTAACTATTGCCCTCCAAGAGATGGGATTTCGATACACTGCGTGTGGCCATGACCGAGAACTTTTCAGGGGAAAATATTCCATCCTGTCTATGAGGTCACATTATCTCCGCACCATTCATAACTATCACAGTCAGGGCGTCCAGATAATTTACCTTGATGAATCATTCCACTTACTACATGTGGCTATCGGTAGATGGACAAAGAGCACCCACAGACCATCAGGTAAAGGTCATCGTGTCATTGTTTTGCACGCTGCAACCAGTGATATGGGGCTTTGTGATGGATGTGTGCTACTTTTCGAGGCGAAAAAGAAAACTGGTGATTTTTATAAGGATATTATTATAGGAGGTGTCATTGTCATAGATAACGCCAGTTAATATAACGTCCGGGAATCAGATACTGTCGCCCAAACCATGAGTAGTCTGAAGGCGACCATACAGGAATATATGACATTGTCGACTTTAGACCATATGAAACGAACGTTCAACTCATGGAGAACATTCGGCTAAATAAGAACCCTGTAAAGTACAGGACATATGTGCTAGCGGCACATTGTGAGTTCAACAATGTTGTGCCTATATTGGCTAAGTGTAAAGGTTTCGTAGCAAGACAAAACACAACATTCAGAAGGAAAGATTCATATCCACCATCAGCGGAGGTAAATGCTACCTCAAGAAATCATCTGTAGAACAACAAATACTTTTGGATTCCAAAACTGCAACCTCCCAATACTCATCCCGTTTCATAGCTCTTAACTATTCCATCATATTTCCAAGCAAATATAATGCAGGACATATCCTTAAATTTCTACCCCATCAACGCACATGTCAATTAGACCAGTGAAGATCCGGGGTAGAATAGGTCTTCAGCAACCCATGCTTGCCGTAAAAGGCGACTATGCTTGTCGTAAGAGGTGACTAACGGGATCGGGTGGTCAGGCTAGCTGACTTGGTTGATGCATGTCATCGTATCCCAATTCCGTGGATCGATGCTCATGATGTCAATCACTGGATTGTCTGGACCAGACTCGTTTATTTACAGACCGCCGTCATATAGCTTGAATATTGCTGAGTGCGGCGTTAAACAACAAACTAACAAAAACATGTCAATTAAGTAAAATAACAGAAATATTTTGAGCCCAGTCCCAACTCGGTGACATTTGCACCGGTGAGAATGCACGGGACGTTGTGAGGTCATCACCTCGGGACAGGTGTTAGGTGATTACCTCAGGTTATAGCCCATTTCATACATACATGACAACGAACAAATACTTTCTAAGTTGATCATCATTTTACGATACCCAAAGGCTGCAAGACCTAAAGTAACACGTGGCCAACACACGCACTTGAATTCCTTTTCTGTACACGACAATGTTACAATACCAGTTTAGAATTATGAAATAATGCTAAACATAACACGATAATGAAAGCCTCGTTTTGAGATCAAGCAGCGCTTGGAATCAGTACTCGATGTCTGCCTTTAAAGAGTAAACAGATGAATTAGTACGAAGCTGATCAATAAATCGCATTCTCCGCCGATTAAATAATGATTGACTACCAGTTGTTGTGATGACTGAGTTGCTTAGTTAGATTATGTTTGTTTTTCTTTTCCGTTCCAATTCTCAAGTGAACTTCAGCCGTCATTTGCTGTATAAGTGGTATTTTATCTACCATGTTAAAACATAAGAGATTATTTGCTGAACCCAGGGCAAGTCTACACTAACACTTTTTATGCACATAAAGAAATTCAACTTGCCCGTCTTTCATTATTTTAAAATACTTTTGGTCCGTATCTACTTAACACTGCAGCGTACAGCGACCTTTGAAAACTTACTATCATTCGTCTGCTTACGTCACGAACAATAAAATATACTCAAAATATCACCCAAAAGTTGGTTCATATGATGAATAAAACAAATGATATCTGCAGGATAAAAATATCTTCTTATAATGATGTATGTATAATACAATAATATGTTATATAATCTGCAATGTAACCCCGTATTCTACATGGTACGCTTATGTTATCTCTCTCTCTATCTCTCACTCTCTCTCTCTCTCCCCCTCTCTCTCCCTCTCTCTCTCCCTCTCTCTGGGTTAGACCGTGCTTTAATTGAACACCAGGGACATTGTCTCATCACTATTTGATAGTGATTTATAAACACATGCTAATGATGTAGTCGGAGTGAGTGAGTGAGTATGGTTTTAAGCCGCTTTTGGCAATATTGCAGCCATATCACGGTGGGGAACACCTGAAATGGGCTTCACACATTGTACCCATGTCGGGAATCGAACCCGGGTCTTCGGCGTGACGAGCGAACGCTTTAACCACCAGGCTACCCGACCGCCCCAGTCGGAATGGAACCATCTACGACATTTAGCAGAGATTGGAAAGGTTTTTGTCGCTTTTCATTATTTTTATTGTGTACAAAGTGCCTTTATTTACATAGTGCCTTATATTTTACCAGTTAAATATAATGAATCTATTTTATCGTCGTAGGTATGATTCTGTTTCTCTAGTTGTATTTTAGATAAAATAACGCTTTCGATTCAAGCATCTTAGTGTTGTGTTTTGAAACATTTATGCTCAGCTGCCCCCTTACCGTGGCAAAACATGGACAGGTGAGGTGGTGAGAAATGGGGTTTAACGTCGCGTCCAAGATTATTGCACTTATATAGCGACGTGCATGTACATGTGTGTTTGTGTGCCTGCTTGTGCTAGTCCGGACTGATGCCGATTTATAGTGCTAGCTCACTGAGATACCATGCCGCAGTTTAACATGAATACCCCACTCAGACACAGTGGTCTAGTGGTGGAGCGTCCGCCCGGAGAACGGAAGGTCCGGGGTTCTATCCCCGGCATCGTCATTCCAAAAGATGGTACTTGTTGTACACAATACAGTTGGCACTAATTCTGTCCCGGAATCCAAACGGGAACGCAAACATGGAAGATTTGGATAAACCTCAACATCCTAAAAACATAAATTAAAATCAAGTGACAAATTCAGTTTACAAGCCTTGGTTAAGACACAGTGCATACCTGGCGGAAGAAACGTCCACACAGGTGGATCGGGGGTCAGACTCGGTTGATTGCCTGTCATCGTTACCCAAACGGCGTGGACTGTTGCTTACAGGGCGCCATCACATAGCTGGAGTATTGATGACGTCCGCGACACTATTTACAAGATGCATTGTTACGTGTAGTTCCTATATCAGGGAAGATTAAGTTTGTTTGGTTGTTTTGAACACCGCGCTCAGCAATATTCCAGCTGTATGACGGTGGTATGTAAAAAATCGAATCTGGACCAGACAATCCAGAGATTGACATCATGAGCATCAATCTACGCAATTGCAGCTGGGATACGATGACATGCATCAACCAAGTCATCGAGCCTGATGGTGTTCATATTTTCTCTATATTGCGAAGGAGATAATAATTTCAGTATCAATAGATACATATCCTAACATCATGTTTAAGCCTATACAATTGTGTACAGAATAGTGTACATGCATTGTTGTAACTTTGTTGTTCATAGGCCAATGACCTATCGTCATGAAACAGTTGGATTGAATGGATGCTTTGTTTTCAAATTAAGATGTTCATTGAGGTATGAATCGAAAAACCGATGTGCACATGAACCGGAAAAAATACACAGTCAATGCTTATAATTAAATTCGACAACTAAAATAGGTTTTATCGACAATAGTTTAACCAAAAACAGTTGTATATATCAAAGCAGACAAAAATGACGAGATTCATAAACATTCAAAGTGTAGGAATACATACTGTGGCGTGACACGAATCAGGTGAGTGTTTTATTCATGCGCATAACTTGACACGCCTACACAGTCAGTAGCCAATCAACAGAGAGTAGGATCCAAACAATGTTAATTGGACCTGTCAATCAAGGCATAAGGCGAGACGAACTGTCAGACTGGAACGAACCGGGAGAAATATGTCGGCTGTTTCAAATGACATGGCCAGTTACCGCCAGATTCAAACATTAGTTCCCTGAAAACTGGAAAACACAGTTGGAAAAATGCTAGTTAGAAATGAAACCCGAAGACACGAAAGCTGTGGAACCGAGGCGAACGGGGGAAAAACAGGCGAGCGAGCCTGCACGTTTGCTGTTTCATTCCTTCTCGGCCTGTGGGTTGTAAGGGTAATTTGGACAATGAATATGCATGAATGTCGCTAAAGGCCCTGTGTATGACGATACACGTGAGCAGAAAGGGAGTTCCCTCTACTGTAATATTGGGATTCCCCGACATTCCAGTAATAAAAGAAGTGCTCCTCGATGTGCGTGGCGTAATTTTTTTACATTCATTAGGAAATGAATGCAATAACACGTGGCCAATTCAGCTCATCAGAATGCAGAAATTTCAAATAACACAACGAAAATTTATTATTACAGAAGTAAGTCAGAGTCAAACAATTAGGAGCCATACGGTTTAGTTGGGTGACGTCATGACGTTATGAAGTC